ATTATTGAAATCGGACTAAAATAACGGCCGATTCTCATATAACGGTAAATTTAAGAAATGCTTGAAACTTCAATATTTCGAAATTGAAGGACGCTAATTTACTCAAAATTGATACACCTCGGCTTACCATCTAGCGGAAGGTTTCGGAAGGGTGAAAAAACATATATTTAATACTTGCGCCGGGTATTTAATGTTCGGCTCCGCCCGAACTTAGACTTTCTTACTTGTTTTTGTTTTAATTTTCACGTTCAACAGAATATTGTACCAAAAGAAAAAACACTTATATTTAAGCAACGTGCAATTTTTACAATAATAACCCGTAAATGGCCATGTACAAGTCAACGGATAAATAATCAGTTTGTAGTTAGTTCTAGTGGATTGATGTCTTCGAGAAGACAAAGACTGTCATCACCGCCATCCAATAAATGCAGAGGGCGGGGCAACGTCAACTACAAAGAGACGCTCGTCCCGAGTACTGTCGTCTACCGCAGTAGCCGAACGTCTAGCCACAATCCGCACCAAAGCGAGATTCTTCAACATCTCGCTAATCTGCGCTCATGCACCGCTTCCAGCGTTTTAGAAGTATCTACACTCTGAAAGCCAAACATCGACTTGGACCACTATCTTGTTCTAGCCAAGATACGCAAACGCTTCTGTGTCGCAAAAACTGTGCGCCCAACAACGAAAGAAAGCTTAACGTCGAAAAGTTGCAATCACTACAGACGGCCAATGGATTGGATACTCGACTCTCACATTTGGTCTCAGAGAGCACTCTGCGAGAAGTGGCAACACATTTCTCGCTTATTGCGTACCGCCGCCGATCGGGCGCAACGCGAACTATATAAGTGGAATCGTGGTAGGGAAATGAAGAGGGTAGCGATACGTATTTGCGGCATTAAGAAGAGAGAGGCCGATATAAATTAGTGCGAAAGCTTTAAATGCTGGCCGACAGGAAAAACGCCCGAAAATTGAACCAAAGAGTTAGCCGACTTACGGAAGGTTCCAAGACCGGGCGAGCTCCTGTAAGAACGACCATGACGACTTATGGACCGATGTCCTGGGCGTACTTAAATTATGGAGGCAACGCTTTTCCACCTTATTGAATGGCAACAGCAGTGTAAGTGGTGAAGAAGACGAAACCGAGTCCAGTCGATGACGACGGAGTCGATATCCCAGCGCCTGACTGTGACGAGGTACGAATAGCGATTACGCGGCTGAAAAACAACAAAGTTGCTGGAGCTGACGTCCAATCCAAATCCAATCAAACCACGGCGACCCCGCCAACTATCGTGGGATCAGCCATCTGAGCTGAGGTTACAAGTGGTTATCAAGCGTATTGTGTGAAAGATCACCACCGTCAACTAACAGATTGGATATAATTAGTGTGGTTTTAGACCTAGAAATCAACCATAGACCAGATATTCCCAACACGCCAATTCTTGGAAAAGACTCAATACACATCAACCATTTGTCGATTTCAAAGCCGCTCTCCACAGCACGAAAAGAAGTTGTCTTTATACCGCGATGTCTGAATTTAGTATCCACGCAAAACGGCTGTGTAAAATGACGTTGAGCAATACCATCATCTCCGTCAAAATTGGGAAGGACCTCTCCAAGCAGTTTGATACTAAACGAGGTTTCAGACAAGGTGACTCTTTCGTGTGATTCCTTTCATCTGATGTGGGAAAAAATAATAAGAGCCGAAGAATTGAACCGCTCAGGCACAATACTTTACAAGATCATATAGTTGCTGGCATATGACGACGACATCGATATTAACGGTAAAACCAAGGGCTACGTCTGTTCTGCCTTCTCGGGATTGGATAGAGAAGCAAAGAGATTGGGTCTGGTGGTGAATGAGGACAAAACTAATTACCTCCTGTCATCACACAAACAGTCAGAGCATACGCATCTTGGCACCAATGTCACTGTTGCCAGTTACAAGTTAGAAAAAATAGACCGCTCCTTTGTTTATTTAGGAACCAGCGTTAACACCAAAAATAATGCCAGCCATGAAATCCAATGGAGAATCACTCTTGCCAACAAGTTCTACTTTAGACTAAGAGTCAATGAGCTTTATGAGCTTTACAACGATGTAGGTATAGTGCAGCGAATGCAAATCCACCGGCTACGCTGACTAAATCATTTCGTTCGAATAGACAGAAACGCTCCAACTCTGAAAGTATTCAATGCGGCTCACCAGGCTGGTAACAGGGGAAGAGGAATGCCTCCTGTACGATGGATAGACCAGGTGAAGGGTGAGCTGGAACAGAAGAGAAACAACTCTCGTGTTGTTTTGGACTCGTGTAAAATCACTTAGGCGCCAATATAAAAGAAAGTGCACTTATTGTTAATTGAGCTCCCTACAGGGACACTTGCTTTATATAATCATCGGGAATCGCCATATCGGTATATGTGTATATATTAGGGCTGAGAATTCTATTCGGATTCTTTGACTATCCGGATAATCCGGTTATTCAAATTTCGGAATATAAGAA